TTGCTTGTTTAATACGAAAATCTCATTCAGCGTTGCATGAATATTAAGTAGCTACATTTAACGCTAAGTACACGTCGTATAAATATCCTGCAGAAAAGCCCCTTCATGGATAGCAGCGGGGTGTTAAAAAGAGTCTGAAGATAAAACTGAAATCTGAGTAATACCATGACGAGTCACGGCCCCGATTATACTCAAACTTCCTGTACGCAGAGATCCCCGTAATGAATCCTTATCCAAAGGCGCTTACGCATGGCGGATGTGGCATCGTACGTTGCGATTCTTACGTAAATGCGCGTATATTTATATTCTCATTACTATTGTACGTATGCAACCGCTGTTGAATTAAACCAAAAAGAAAAAGAAACACTTTACGTGAAATCGATATCGACATAGACTTGGTAACTGCGCGATTTACTTTCCGGCATTATCCACGGAAAATCCGCTCGGCGAACTTGCTCGCATCTGGGTCGGTGAGAAATAATCATGGGACAAAGATCGCAATTTGTATAATTGCACAATTGGGAGCACGGAATGTGCGCATGTGCGTGAAACGAACCGTTACGGAAATTATAGCAACATTGCAATCGTGCGTAATTATTTTTTTCCTATTACGTCTATCGCTGTTACTGTATCAGTATACTTTTCTTTTTTTTTTCTGCGAGAGCGCGCAGGATACTTTCCCATCGAATAGCCCAGCGCTAGTGACGATTTGCACGGCAAAGCGAAAGAAATATACGCGATCGGAAACGGAGTAATGCTTGCTGAGCGGATTATTCGCGGCGCAACGGTGTTACAGCTGCAACTTGTTGGTCTCTGTAGAGAAGCGAAGTTTCCGTATTTGTCTGTTCCATATACGGTGACCATAATGATCGATTCGCCCCTGGTTATCGGTTTTCCTGTGAAAATTGGCCTCGCCGCGCGCGTACTTTTCCGCGTAAATAGAAGGTTTCCCTCTGAGAGATAACTTTCCGTTCGCATGAAAAACGATATCATCGTGCCAGAAGTTTCGTTGCCTCCCGAACGTAAATGACGATTTACTTTCTCGATAAACGATGCGATGGACCACGAAAATTCCCGATGGCTTCGTTTTAATTATCGTTATTCTCCGATAAACTTCACCCGAAGCGTAGACGTACGGTTTTCGCGAGCATCGCTCGATCGTTCTCGTATAATTTTCACGAAATAATGTTCTGTTTTATATTCTATGAATGCGCGAACAGCGTAATTGGAATTTTTAAGGATTACAAAAGTATCTAATTTCATCCGTTTGGAAGATGGGAAAAGCTGTAAAAATTAAAATGTAAGACGCGCGGAATTTGTCGGAATATATAACATCGATAAAATTATGAAAATATTAACAGAATTAGGAACGCTGTTCATCTATGGTTTTTTTTATCTATTAACGACATGTCTTCGTTTTGCGTAAGACTTAAGGCTGGATTCACACTTGGCAGAAAAGCAGAAGTTCAATCAGAACCAATCGGAACTCTCGCCGGTAGTCGAAAGTTTCTACTTTCTGCCAGCAGAGTGTGCTGTTTACTACCAGCGCGAATTCTGATTGGCTTCTGCTTTTCTGCCTAGGTGTGAAACCAGCCTAAGTCGGTGTCGGGATGCTGCTATTCTACTTTCTGCTTTTTTGCCAAGGTGTGAATCCAGCCTTAGGGTCGGAGCACAAAGCGACGTAATAGCGTAATAGATAGCGCTCAAGCTTTGACGTATTCGTATTGACTTTTTCAATTTGCAAATGTAATTTCCAATTACATACGCCGTTAGGTTTACGCCAAAGCTTGTGCGCTATCCACGTTTACGCTTACGTCTTTGTCGTAAGCTATTACGTTGCTTTGTACTCTGACCCTTGTGCACCACACAGACAACGCCAGGCGCCGACGTGTTTCCAGGCGCCCGACGTTGTTTCGTCACTGGAGATAAGCTTCTTGAAAACTGCACACGCTCTAACGAATCAAAGGATGCACGCGAAAGACGTGCTCGGTTAATTATGCAATTAATGCCCGGATCCTGCGCGCGACCCTCCGTTTTACGTTCTACGTTCCACAGGTAATACTAGTTTCCTTCAGTTTCAGCATCGAAACCAATAACATGAATATTGAAAGGAAAATAAAGAAAATAACTCGCGCGAAGAGAGTAGCATAAAGAATGATTCGTTCGTAGTCGTTTGTAACGCGAACTGTTGGTCCTTTGACATTTAAGAAAACGATACGTCCGAAATAACTCGTAATTAATCGAAGAATACGACGCTAAGAGAGACACCCGAGCTTCCAACGTCCATATAAAATGTACATTTATATATTTTTTTTTAGCACCTAGGGTGTTATCCGCGCGGTGTTTATCCGCAAGTAGACTTGATGGCGATGATTAATCTCCATCCGAAGCGTCGAGCGTCGAGCGTCAGCGATGGAACCCCGGCACAATGAGCTCTCGGGTGGCGCGCGTGTGAGCGAGGCGACAGGGATAAAGTGCCATGGTAGCGCGGGAGGAAGGTTAAAGGTCAGACGTCCAATTCGCGTACAGGTCACAGAGTCGCCCGAGGACACACGTGAACTCGCGTGTACCACCTGCCATGGGGCTGTCGATATTTTTTTTTCTGACATTGCGTGAAAGAAAAAAATTCCCCTCGTCGGCGAACACGACCGGAACCTTGTCAAAGCTGATAAAAGTATTGCTGTCCTTACGATAAAAATCCCCCCGTCGGTATTTCGCGTCCCGCGTGCGCGCGAAAAAATTAGATAAGTTAAACGAGCCGTTCATACTTGATATTTTCAGAAGCACAGTTGATTTGCATAAGCTGTTTTCACGACCTTTACGCGATATAAAGCGCGCGTTGTAAAAGAAAAACGATATTAAACGATAAAAAGCAAATTGCATTGTGTTATCAAATTCAAATAGCAAACTGCGTTATTTTGCTATTACCTAAAAAAATATCGGTTATAGATGGGAAAAGTTGCGCGATACGCGGAGATCCCGCGCTGGTTACAGGTGAGTAAATTTTATAATTAACGATTCGAAATAACAACTCGCGTACGAGTGTTTTGCGCTGCGAAATTTCAAAGTTCAATGCAGCGGGAAACAATATGCGTGGTTATTACGCGCGACGCGGCCATTGGTAAACTGTCCCGGGTAAAGTAAAATTGGGTACAGGGTGCGTCGATTAATACAAAGCTCGGATACAAATTGTATTCGAGTAAGCCGGGCGCGTAATTGAAAGCCGAATCTGATTGATATTGAACGCAGAACTAAACCAGTTTAATCCGAGGGGCTATAGTTTCCGTTACAACCAAGTCGGGTATATTTTACGTACCGCTATAACACGAATTAAAAATATTAAACTGAATTTTTTTGTTAAATTTCTAATTGCGAATCAAGAGTAAGAGGCTAGGAGGTAGGTACTAATTTTGTTCAAGTCGTCCAATTTTTAAGTTATATTACGCGAACAAAGTTTCTCCTTTTAATAAATATTGCTTGTAATAGAATTAGCGAATTGAAAGCCGAATCTGATTGATATTGAACGCAGAACTAAACCAGTTTACTCCGATGGACTATAGTTTCCGTTACAACCGAATCGGGTATATTTTACGTAACGCGATAACACGAATTAAAAATATTAAATTGGATTTTTTTAAAAATTCTAATTGCGAATCAAGAGTAAGAGGCTAGGAAGCAGGTACTAATTTTGTTCAAGTCGTCCAATTTGAAAGTTATATTACGCGAAGAAAGTTTCTTCTTTTAATAAATATTTGTTGTAATAGAATTAGCGATGCCGTGCAAAAGATAATCCGTAGGTGGGAAAGAAGAGAAATTAATAAAAGACGACAATATTGTAATTTTTTAGCACAAGTACCTTCGTCACGCTATGACTTAATCGACCATCAACAAGTAGTGTCGCGCGCAATACGTCGGTAAAGCAGTTTAGAACGCGGTTACAGATGGCAGCTCGAATCAGAAACTTAATTTTCTGGCCACACAGTATAATTAGAGATGCAAAGCAGCATTTCCAGCAACTTCGTACGTTCGAATAAAGTTCACCTGCAATATCCGAACATTCCGTGCAGCTCGGCAATTAATGTTGCGACTACAAACGTAATTAAACCTGGCTTGCGCGATGGTCGTTTCACATTTCCAGAATGATTTAATAAAAACGCACGAAGCGATCCGAAAGGAAATATCATTCGCGCATCGCAGTGGCATTCCACTTTTCCTTCGCAGAAAAAATTGTAACATCGCTTCAATTATTTATTATTCGCTTCTTTCATTTTTCACTCTTATTAAAGTACAAATCGACTTTTATAAAAGATTTAGCGTAAAATAAAAAGTAGTGAAAACAACAGAGTGACAAAATTGCAACGTTTCCGTCGCGAAAACTCCGTCAACGTCCACACAGGTGCGAGGTATCCCCGAGATTTGCGGCCTGCGGAAAAAAAAGCTTCCCTCGAGAGGTTTGTGGTCGTCAGTCTCGCGCAAAAGTCTAAGAGTTTGCCCTAATTTCGGCACGTCGAGAATCGACCGCCGCGCCGGCTGGAAACGAAATAAAGCGAGCGAGCTAACTGCGGGAGAACGTGACGGGGGATTCCAAAACTCTTCTGAACCTGGGCATAATACCGAGAGAGAAACTATCGATTAACTGTCCGCCACGTTACGTCTCGCGAGCGTCCGGAGCGCATTGTCTTTTCGCGGCGCGATATCACCGCTCGTTGGCGTAACGTGGCGCACGGAGAATATCTCGGTAAACGCTCCGCCGCAACCGTTTCGCGTTCCGCGGTAAACCGAGCAGAAAAAAAAATTACGCTCGCTCGCCCAGTTTTGATTGAAGCTCAGCGTGCGTGTACGCGGGTAACTCGCTCTTTCGTAAAACTGAATAAATAAAGCGCTCCTTTGTGGCTAAACTTTCTCGAAACCGTTAACAATCCAGACGCATTCTCTCGCCCGTAGTTTCTTTTTTCACCTCGTTTATCGCGAAAAAAAATACCAAGCGAAACTCTACTCACGACAATCATCTCGGAGGGCTCGAGGACGAAGCATTCGTTGGGTCGCCTGGCGCTGCCGCCCGTCCGCTTCCCGAAGCTGCAACAGAAATCAAAAAGCATTTCTCGGTGAAAACGTGGATCGCATTACACGAGTATCGGCAGATGTCGTAAGTACAGATTTTTACATTTATATTTTAGAAATTCCGTGAAAGAGGACGCGACGTCTTACGTCAAACTTTATTAAAGCAAATCTCATCAATCTCTTAAAATCTCTTAAAACCGAATAATTAAATGTGAGCTACTTGCGTGGAAAAAAATCTTACGATTTGTAAAAGAGAATAAAGTATATTTGCCTGAATAGAGGAGAAGCAGAGTATTGTTGTCAAGAGTCAACACTCGGGCTTCTCCGAGTACCGCACATTTCGAGGAGATAAAAAGGGGAGGCTCCAAAATTCATCACGTGAACCCCTCAATTTCGCATCGTTTCGAATCGAACGACAATATGAGGGTGCTCGCGCAAACACCTATTATTCCGTGACGCCGTTCTACGCCCCAACATTAAGTTCTACTACCAATATTGGGCGCAACAACGCCATCGACAGATGTTCCCCATCGTCAAGAAGGGCGCTCCGCAAATTAGCTATAAAGGCGCAATGGTCCAACCAATTTTCGCCGATATACGAAAATACGCGGTTATATACGAGATGGAAGCCACCCAAAATGTGATTGTCCAAATCGAAATCGTTTTTCTCAATAGGAGGCGAGGGGTGAATCGCTGACCAAAATCGTGTATGTACACCAATGCCCACTAATGCCCAGTGGGCATTACTTTATCTTATTTTATCTTATCTATCTTGTTTTATCTTAGTTTATCTATAATGCCCCAGCAAGGTCTAATGCCCAGTAATGCCGCAAATCTGTACACCACAATGCCCTCAGCGGTTTATCCCTCGATGGAAACTATTGTAGCGTGACATCGAACCTCCCCACATTGGAGTTGAACTTGCGCCTTGGCGAATTAAGAGATCAAATCTTGGAATAATGATTAATTACACTGGTCAACATTTTTCGCTTCTTTTTATGTCACAAAAAGAATGGCAGATCATTTAGATAGGATTTTTCCTGTAGATTACGAATTCGAAATGGAATAAAATAGTTTTAAAAAATCCGTTTTTGACACTTTTTGAACCTCTATCACAAAATAACGGGACGTGATAGACAACTCTATGTGGACTGAAATTAAAGCTCGAACCTCAAACTTGAATGATATGAAACAAAAAAAACATGTAACAATACTGTGAAGCTGTGTAACACAAGTTTTTGCGAGGGAATACCAGACCAAAATTTTGTACACCAATGCCCACTAGGCATTACTTTATCTTATTTTATATAGCAAGGCCTAGTGCCTAAACTAATGCCCCAAAAATGCCTAGTAATGCCCAGTAATGCCGCAAATCTGTACACCGCCAATGCCCTCAGCGGTTTCCCCTCGGATTTTTTACTTGGAGACCACAGCCTGAATAACTATTCGAAAAATTAGTATCGAAGAAACAAAATATTAATTTTCCATAACGAAATAACATTTGAACAAATTAAAGGACGACGGTCGCATCGTTGATAAGAAAATACCTCTCCCCGTTCTCGCGTCGCTTTTGCACAGCTGGAGATATCGTTCACCGCGGAAAGTCCTCTCGATTTAACGGTGACGATCGTGCATCGAACGTCGATGCTCGACCGACCGAGAATCGGAAAACCGAGATGGTGGGTCGTGGGAGGGGGAGGGGACAGCGAGGTTGCAGAAGGCCGTAAGGTTGTCGAAGGCTGTTGACCCCCGCGCGTTATCCCGCTCCTCCCTCGACTTGAACACACAAACGGAGCCGCGATGCGTAACGCACGCGTAACGCATGCGTAACGCATCGCTCGTGCGTGCGCGCGTGTGTGAATCGTGCGTGCACGTGCATTCGTACATCGCAGAAAATTGAATTCGACGCGGATGACGCTCCTTGTCCGTCTCTCAAGCCTATCGCGAGTTAAATCCCATAAACGTCGCGCGTTTCGCTCTTCCTCAGGATTATAATTATTTCGTTAGGCATGTAGGTCACCCGTTACGTGCACGTGCGCCGACATTTCCGCCTTTATTTAGAGAGAACGATCGATCCCGCCGAAAATATTTCTTCAAACTAATTTGGCTTATGGTCGCGCGTTACTTATCAATCGATCGAACCAACACACGACTTTGATGTATCAGAAACATCGAGCGAAATTAAATCACGCGTAAATAACCAAACGCGTTGAACCAAATAGTCTCACTCCTGAAATACGTCTCATTCCGCAAAATTGTTGATATTCTCAAATTCTGTCGGGGGTTCCATATATTACTCAATTTCATTTGACGACTTAAATTGATTGATATTTTGACGCTCCAATATTCGCTCCATCAGACGATTGACGAATACGATAAATCTCCCTTTGGTTTCTACAAATCTAATCTAAAATATACGAGGGGGAAACCGCTGACCAAAATCTTGTACGCCGATGCCCACTAATGCCCAGTGGGCATTACTTAATTTTATCATCTTATTTTACCTTTATAATGCCCCAGCAAGGCCTAATGCCTAAAAAATGCCTAGTAATGCCCAGTAATGCCTCAGCGGTTTCCCCCTCGAAAAAATATTTATGAAAAAAATAAACGTTACACAGAGTACGAATCGTCATGAAGCGATACGATTGCTTTTTACACGTAACATCCCATACAGACGACGCGCGCGTACGCAGTGAAAAAAAAAAGGAGAACTGGACTACGGAAAGCAAAATTGAACAGAAGCGGTACAGACATTTCCAACGGTTTAGCGAGCGATTCGCAGCGTACCTTCGGCCTGTTTTCCGCCAACACTCGTAACGGAAGTAATCAAAGCGCACGTCGCATCGAGTGTCGCGTCCGCTTTATTCCGCGGCGGCGCGGCGTGTAAAGCCTCGGCACCAACTTTTGTCCGGTCTCGTGCCTTTCTGTTCCCATTTCCCGAAATACACCCGCAGGGGACGCTCGTTATAATTCGCTCTGATCTTAACGGGGACCGACGGCGCGGCCGGCCGTCTCATTGTCGACGATCCCGCATGCCTAAGCGTTCTTTCTCTCGCTTTCTCCCCCTCTCCCCATCTCATTCCTGCTCCCCGCGACGACGTCCATTTCGCGAAATTATCCGTGCCGTTTCACAACACTAGGCCACGTGGATCCACTCGACGTAATGAAATATTTCTATGACGTCGTTAGAGCTATTACACTTCCTATTATCCTTTCTTCTTAATCTTATTCACCGCGCTATTAGGCTCCTCTTTCACGCGGTCGAAAGCGCGAAATTGTCCATCAACGACTTCCGTCGGGACAGATTAAATCTTTTTTTTTTTTTACGTAGCAATGTCGAATTTTCATCTTAAATTATCTAGACGGAAAGGATTTTTCTTTTAGTTACCGTTACCGATATTTCATAGTTTTAAACTACCCGCGTTTATATCTACATCTAACCAAATAAGAGAGAGAGAAAGAGATAAGAAATTATCTATGCTTCGCGATACTAAACCGAGTCTGTGGTTTGAGCTACTTATCGACTTACAGGATGAAGAACAGGTAATTCAGATCGCTTATGTAAAGTATAGTAATCGCGCAAGTTGCAATAACAAGAATGACTTTTACGTTACGTGCAAACGCAAGACTATATACGCTTGCTTTCGTAACAGCTTATATATCAAAGTTAAACCTATAGTATACCAATCAGCTGCTACTGGAGAAACTGTTATTATTACGATAACTACTTAAATATTACTTAAACAGCGATTACTTGCATGTAACTCTTCATGCAATCCGAGAGACAATTCGTATACACCGAGGGGTAAATTGCGGTGTACAGATTTGCGGCATTAGTTCGCATCGTAATTAAGACAATGAGTAATTTTCGCTAGGAATCGAAAGTCGAAATCACTTGAATGTAATCCTGCGAGGACTCACCACACGGAAAATCTCCTCCTGGGGAACGCGGGCGGCGGCGGCGGCTGAGCTCGATGAGTCCTGTCGACGGACTCGCTCCTGAGGGCTTGCACCGCCTTAGGCACGGCCCTGAAGGGCTCCTGACAGGCTTTCGTGACTATTCCGCCGTTGCCAACGCCATCGTTGAAATTACCCGTGCCACCGCCACCGCCGCCACCACCATGGAAGCTGTTCCATCTCCTCACCGGGCCCCTGTTAGCGCCGTGATAGCCGCCATTATGGCCACCTGGACCGCGGAGCTGGCTGGTGTGCTTGTGCATCCTCTCAATGATCTTTTCGCCAGGACGCGCTAGGCCCGTCCATCGTCTATGTCGTCATCATACGCATTCTTTCCCATGAATCGGCTACATCCTCGACGCCACTTTGCCTCTTCTCTTCTCGCGTCTTCTCTTCAGCCGCTTTTTCGAACTTTGCGAGTATCGAGCGAGACAATTAATGCTTCTGCTCTCACAACGGATTACGGCTGGGTAGCTCCATGAGTAGCGTTCTAAAGTAAACCGATGTTCTCAGGATTGCGTGCGGATACCAAGATCAGCGAACTCGGCCATCGATCGTTTCAGTTTCAAAGACTAATCGCGTCGTATTTTATCTGAGATTCAATAGGAGATACTCTACTGCGTATTCGACGCATTTATTAACACGTAACTCCGCGATAACTGATCTTACTCTTCCCGGTTTGCGGAAAAAAAAAGTTTTCTATAAGTATATTCTATATTTCAGAAGTTGTAAAACAAAACGTGAGGAAGAATCTCTCGGGAGAATCGCACGCGTTCTATATAAAGACCGCGGACAATTCTCACAAGTAGAGAGCGCAGCTATAAAGAAGAAATACTGCACAATAATTTTTTTCCCATGGCGCGCGCGTGATATTTGGACCAAGTCGGCGACGGGGTCGAGTAGAGTCAAGTGATTCTTAGTGGCTCTTTCGTACGTGGCTCGCATACTTTTATTACGCGACCTATGGGATTCGATCGACTCCAAGACTAACGGCGTCGCGGTGTCGTTTGCCGTTCCTTCCGACCTTATCAAGCCTGTAACGTTTGCGAGGAAACGCG